ACGCGCGGCGCATGGGCGCGGCGTGCGCAGACCTGTACTTCCGGGTCTTGAACATCACGGGCAGCTGGTCCAACCAGACCGCGGGCCTCCAGTACTTCGCGGACAAGGAGCTCGACAGCCGAGATTGGAGGAAGTTCGGCGCCGTGGACCTCAAGGTGGTTCGCGGCAGCACCTTGTCAGGCATAGCGTACCTCAACGTGTTCGCGAGGCACCTCGGCAGCTTGGCGTACCCCGTCGGCGGCCTGCTGGGGGAGGACGACCACACCGCGGCGGCAACTGCTGGCCCCGAGTGCAGCACAGGTCTGGATCTCCACTCCCGGCGGCCCGCGGTGGCCTCGTTCGCCATCATCCAGGGCTGAGGGGGCCCGGGCTGCCCTCGGCCGCCGCGGAGGTGGAAGCCACCCCTTGCGGCCCGGGAGAGGCTCGGGGGGGGGGGCGGCCGAGCTGCGGGGGCGCCCATTCATGAGGGGTGTGAGGATTACCAGGATTACCGCCTTGACAATTGCCAATGGAGGGGGGTGAGGACCAGGAAGAGGGAAGGAGGAGCGGAGGGCGGGAGGCAGGCAAGGCTCAGTTCAACGGGAGTCCAGGCCGCGGCCCACCTCCTGAGCGCCAGCCAGCCAGGGCCTCTTCGAGGCTTCTTGGGGCGATCTTCGGGGCTACTTGGGCTGCATGGAGCGTCGGGAAGCCGAAAAAGTGTCCTTTGGCCCGACAGCCCTAACCGCCAGTCTACGCCTGAAGCCCTTGAGCCCTGGCGGCGGAGCCCATCGCCGACACCGCGCCGCCGTCGCGCGCGAGTTCTGGGCCCCAGCGCGCCCTCCATCTGCCCCCCGCCCCAACGAAAACCGCCGAGTCCCAGGCGCTGACTTGGGGCGTGGCCGAATCGGTATTGCCTGGACCCGCAGCGTGGGGCCAATCCTTGGCCCCCCGTCCTTGGCCATCCTGTAACCCCAGCTGCGATTGCCTCCCTGAGCGCGCGGCCGCGTGCGTCATCGTGGCTCCGCCGTCCCACCGGATCCCTATGCCCTTAGCCCATCGGCGATAAGCTCCAGGCCGTGGGTTTGGGGTTCGATGGGCACACGTTCGGCCGTCGCCAGTCCCATCGAATATTCGGTCGCGCGTGGTCGAAGGCTCAATGGTATTCTAGCCGAACCGACGCGCAGTGATTTTCGGAAAGTGTCGTTTCCGCTGTTGCGCGGCCACTGCTTCTCTCCTGTGCGATTTTGGAGGGGTGTCTTGCCTCAGGAGTCCCCAAATTTGTTGGGGGCCTCCGAGGGACTCTTTCGGCCTCAGGTGGCTCCATGCTGTTTCAGGTGGCTGCCCAGAGGCTTCCACGACGGCCGAGGATGTCCCAAAACGGTCCGAGATGCTTCTAAGACGGCCACGGTCGTCCGCGAGGTACCTCGAGACAGGCTACCAGAGATTGCTTAAGTACAGGTCTCAGGCATCCCCAGACTCTCAATCAACTGGTTCCGATTTCAAATATTTGTTTGGGCGTTCCGGCTGTGCTCCTTCGTACACCTTCGTGGGCGACTCAGCGAGCCCCAAGACGGCACATGACACCCGAAGGACGCCCACAGAGGGCCTCGCACCGCCCCAGAAGGCTAGAAGGACTCGAAGAAGGCCCAAGAGAGGCCCCAGAAGAGCCCCAGAGACAGATCCCCAAGACGGCCAAAGAGGGACCGACCCCACTGAGGCGCGAGACGCGCCAAAACGACCCAAGAGGTCCTGAGAACCCCCCGATGGCTTCCCAAAGCCCTGAGGATGCCCGCAAGAGCCCCCCAGACACCCTCAGACGCCCACATAGGAAGCCCCAGCGTGGGGCCCTGACACTTCGTCAAGAGGCCCAAGGGAATCCCGCATCCCAACCACGCCAGCCCAGTTCAGATGCAATATCCACCCACACCATGCCTGGACAGTTCGAGGGTCTCCTGTGATGGCTCCCCCGCACTCCAATGGAGCCCCCACGGGTCCGTGGGACTTGCCTCGTCGCCGTCACTCCTTCCACCTCAGGAGAAATGCTAGTTCTTGAGAGATGGATGCGATGCTGCTCGTGCTTCTCCCCTTCTTGTTCCAGCTTCTCCTCCTCCTCCTCCTCCTCCTCCTCCTCCCTCCGCAGTAATATTTTGGCCAAATCAGGTTCGAGCTTGCTGCGGCGGCTATTCTGACACCGTATTTGTCCGAGTGATCCCTCATTTTACTTCGGTTCCGAGGTAATGGCGGCGGTGCTCGTCAAGGGTTTCGTGGCCGCTGTCCTGGCCTCCTTGTTTGGAGTGGGCCACGGATGGGGGTTCCGCGGGCCGGCGGGGTGCCAGGCGATCAGCACGCCTGGCATGGACGGCGCCCTCGGGATCGATGCCCAGCTGATCCAGGTCACAGCAGACGCGGACGAAAACTCGAGCAGGGCCTTGCTCAGCAGACGCGTCGCGTTCACGATCGAGCTCGAGATCCGGAAGAAGTTTGGCACAAGCATTCTGTTCCCTGCCCAGCTGTCGATTGC